CCTTTTCTCACTTTTCCCTTTATTCATGTGCCCTCAAGTCAATTCGGACTTATGGCGATCCTTTTCGGGGTTTTCAAGGTAGGGGATACTCAGAAGTCGTTTACCCATTCCTTTCTTCTTGGGGGGGGGACTGGGACTGTGCAGCTTGCCCAAGACCACACAGGCTGGCTCTTCTCCCAGGAGGCACAGTGGGGGATCCAAAAAGCCATCCTCTGTCTTTGCAGCCAGATGTCCCAAACTGCTGAGCTTTCCAGCTAGCTTACTCTTTGCTTTAGCAAGCAGTATCTCCCCCTCTCCCTCTCCCTACTCAGCCTTTGCCTCTTCTATTCCATCTCACAGGACACTAAAAGTCTATTTCTCCTCCTCCCCAGTCCTCAACTATTTCGAGAGTTTGAGGACTTTGCAGCAGAAATCATAATAGGAAGAAACCGGGAGGGAGAAATGGCAGTCCTGATATTGCCTGGAACTACTAGAGGAGATGCAACCTGAAGGCTTTTCAGGTGAGTGTGGGAGTGGAGTTGTTGCTCAGTTTTATTACGCCTTTGCACCTTCAAATCATAACCATTTTTAATATTTTTGCTACAGCGATTTCAAAAGTACCCCCAAGAAAGTATCTAAATATGTATGGCAAAATAACTAAATTCCACTTCAGAAGTAATGCAGCAAGTGGGAATAACTTTACCTTTTTTCAATATGGGGAGAAGTGCCATGTGATTTTTAAATTTTTTGTTAACTAAAAATGGTCTAAGGACATTTTGGGGCAGATTCAAGTTTTACATTATCCTTTTAGCAGTCTTCAAGAAAACAGATGATCTCAATACATTTCAGTCCAGTTGTAGGTGAAAACAGTTAGCCTTGATCACCCTGATAGATAACCTGCTCTAGGATAAGACAAAGAGCACTGCCCTATTGATCCCTTTAAATCTTTCAAATCCTGTTGGCCATTTGCCTCCCAGAATGTCTAAATCCCTTCAAAGGAAAGATAGTTCAGTAAATACTAGCAGACAAATAGTCCCCCCCCAAGGTGGCCTTTTGTAAACTGACTGATTGCTAAGAAAAAGGCTTTTAAGAGGTATGAACTGCATTTCTTTTTAATGGTAATGCTTTGTGGCAAGCCAGCATGAGTGCCAGATTCTGGAGAAAGGCAGGATAACAAACAAATATACAAACAAATGTTATTACATTGCTCTGATATTAGATAGGAATAGTGCTTTGGGGCTAACCTGCACGGCTGGTAATGAAGAGTGGCACTGGCTATTAGCCCCATGGCTCTTAAGCTCTGGAATGCCAGGGCAATCTGTTCTGTACTTTATTTCTTCCAACTTCTTTGGTAGAAGCTTTCATTTCACTTCTGAAACTGGAAGTTCTTCGTCATACCTTTAAATGTTTTTATCAAGTCAGTGATGAATTATCAAGAATTAGCTACCACCAGTATGCTATATGTTACCCATGGGGGACATGTATCTTACCCCTTCATGAATATGAAGACATGTAGCAGGAAACCTATTGCTTCGCCCCCTACAGCTACTGAGATATGTTCTTAAGAGCTTGTAGCAACAAATTCTAGTAATTAATTATGTGCTGTGAAGACATACTTTGTTTCACTCCTCCCGAATCTCCCTAAAAAAATAGTGCCCTTGTTTTTGAGGGGAACCTTTTTTCATAAACCTCATGGAACACCCTTCCAACAGAAATTCGGCTGGCACCCTCGCTGGGTGTTTTTAAAAGCCAGTTAAAAACTTGGCTATTTAAGCAGGCCTTCCCTCCAGTCAGCTAAGTCTTTTTATCTCTTCTTTTCTTATTCTATCCCATCTTGGTAATCCTTTTTCAAATTATTGACTTAATTAATATTGCAATTGTATTTTTATGGTTATATATTTTTTTATATTGATTTATTGTTATGTTGTAAGCCGCCCCGAGTAGACATGGTCTAGAGGGACGGGGTATAAATTTAATTAATAAAATAAATAAATAAAGAAAGAAAGAAAGAAAGAAAGAAAGAAGAGAAGACTCCCTGGAAAAGCCCCTGATGTTAGGAAAGTGTGAAGGCAAGAGGAGAAGGGGACGACAGAGGACGAGATGGTTGGACAGTGTCATCCAAGCGACCAACATGAATTTGACCCAACTCCAGGAGGCAGTGGAAGACAGAAGGGCCTGGCGTGCTCTGGTCCATGGGGTCACGAAAACTCGGGCACCACTTAACAACTAAACAACAATCCCTGAAGACTCAAGGTCAAGATCATGCTACAGTATATTATTCTCCAATCATAGTGTGGATGTGAAAGCTAGACAGTGAGGAAAGCTTTTAGGAAAAATATTATTCATTCATAAAAGTTATTCCCTCACAGGTATCTTCTCTGTTGCTACATTCCGGTCTCTGGAACTCCCTCTTACAAGAAGCCAGGCTGGCCCCATTTTTGCTGTCCTTTGCAAGCAGGTGAAGAAGACTTTCAAGCAGGCTTTTCCTTAGTGACTGATTATCTAGGGGATGATCTATATTTTGTTCCTTCTAAATGTCTTTGTAATAATGCTTTTACCTAACAATTTAAATGTAATGTTATTAATTCTTTAAAAATATTTGAATAGTTTACTGTTTCTAGCTTTTAATGTCTTTTTATTGATATAAGCTTCCTTGGGAACCTTTTTTGGAGGGGGAGAGAAAGGCAGGGTAAAACATTGTGGAAGGAGAGCTTTAATAACTGCCAGAAAAACAAGTAAGTGGGTTTCAGATCAAATCAGGCCTGAATTCCCAAAAAGAATGAAAACTTTTTATTGAGCTTCCTTGGGAACCTTTTTTGGAGGGGGAGAGAAAGGCAGGGTAAAACATTGTGGAAGGAGAGCTTTAATAACTGCCAGAAAAACAAGTAAGTGGGTTTCAGATCAAATCAGGCCTGAATTCCCAAAAAGAATGAAAATGACCAAACTGAGGCTATTGTACTTTGAACACATTGTGAAAAGACAAGATTTATTGGAAAGACAATAATGCTAGGAAAAGCTGAAAACAATATGAAAAGAGGAAGGACTAACATCCAAAGGAGAGCTTTAATAACTGCCAGAAAAACAAGTAAGTGGGTTTCAGATCAAATCAGGCCTGAATTCCCAAAAAGAATGAAAATGACCAAACTGAGGCTATTGTACTTTGAACACATTGTGAAAAGACAAGATTTATTGGAAAGACAATAATGCTAGGAAAAGCTGAAAACAATATGAAAAGAGGAAGGACTAACATCCAAAAAATTAAGTCAGTCATGGAAACTATGGTACTTAGTTTGGAGGACCTGATTAATGGTAGCATTTTTTTGAAAGTTCTTAATTCATAAGACCATCATAATTGTATTTAATTTATTTAGTTAAAATATTTCTACCCCAGCTTTCTCCTTAGAAAAGGACCCAAGGTGGCTTACAGCATTAAAAAGCAATATTTGAGAATATAACAATGAGTATACAAAGGTGGCACACATCATTAAAAGACAATATTTAAAGCTAAAAACACTAAGTATAGAATATATCTCTGGAGATTCTCAGTATACTTCTATTTCTATATTTCTAGATTAAGTATATAAATATTAAAAAGGAACTAAAACAAACACCCCTCTTAGAAATGGGAAACACAAGCAATACTAAAAACCACAGTCAAAGCAATGATATATCACACAATCCATCCAAAAGTGATCACACTCAGGTAGCCAGTCATTGAGGGAAACCTTGCCTGAAGAGAAGGTCTTCACTTGCTTGCAAAAGGACAACAAAGATGGAGCCAGCCTAGCCTCCTGTGGGAGGGAGTTCCAAAGTCTTGAAACAGCAACAGAGAAGGATGGCATATAACAACCACAGCTATTCCCTCCTCCTCCTCCTCCTCCTCTGAATCCTAAGTTTCTTATATCATCTTATTGAAAAGAGCTCTCAATTATCAGTTAACTCCTATTCCTGCAAATGTTCATATTTTCCCACAAGATGGCACTCCCTTCATTTCTAGACATGTAAACCATTAACAATCATTTACTTTGTTTATAGGTAAATACAGCCTCTGAATTCTTATGAAAATCAACCTGATTTGCATCTCCTGGATTAGAATACACTTACTTGTTGGTTTTTGGACTTCTCTAAAATTTGCAACTGAGGTCCAAAACAAAAAGTGTGAAAATACATATGAATATTTTGTGGCAACATGGTTAAGATGTGTACAAAAAGATAGCATGTTTTTGTAAAAAACATTTTGGTGTTTTTTCAAGAAAGTGAATTTTAATGAATCTTTCAAAAGCGGCTTTCACATTGATGTACGAACAAGATGCAACAATTATGACTGATTAATTGATTAGTCCATTGGTTAATGGATTTGTTGTTTACTTTTTTTATGTCACCCAACTAAAACTGGAATTCAGGATGCCTCAAAATAAGATTAACTTAAAAAAAAAATCTCCTTTAGCTACAATGCCCCAAGTGTCTATGAATGAAGGAGTACTTGGACAGCCGGCATGTCAATGCTGGATTCTTTGTTGGGCTCTTAGGCTGCCCGAATTTTGCTTTCACAAGAGTATCTCTTGGGGCCACTGAAATTCATGTTTCCCTTCCAATATATCTAGCAATTTATTGATGTAGTAGCAGCCTCCTTTCATGGGATGCAAAGCACTGCTGCAGGTATCGGATGGTGGTGCTGGAAGTTAGTGTACACCAGGTCGCACAGTTTTAAAATCAGTTTTACTGTAGTAGTGGATATTTTGAAGAACTTTTATTTAATCATAGAATACGAGGGGATGGCACTGCTCGTATCCAGCCAATTCTACTGAATAGTGGGAAAACTTTTCCTTTTAAAAAATCATCTACCATGTTTCCCTGAAAATAAGACAAGGTCTTAAATTAATTTTTGCTCCAAACATGCATTAGGGCATATTTTCAGGGGATGTTTTATTTTTTTTCATGTCCAACAATCTACCTTTATTCAAATACAGTCATGTCATCTTCTGGTTGCTGTACAATGATGGAGGGTGGGGTTTCACTTAACTAGGGCTTATTTTTGGGCTTAACTAGGGCTTATATTACGAGCATCCTGAAAAATCATACTAGGGCTTATTTTTGTGAAAACAGGGTAGGAAAGCTATAATTCTATATCTCTAAAACAATCACTGTTTGGTCGGGTTGAAAATTTTCCCAGCAAAGAGGATGGTCTGTGTCGCTTTATTAACAATTAATAGGAGGCTGGGTCTGTTGTATTTGATGGTAGTATGAGGATTTGACCTTGGAGTTATATCAATAACAGTGACTGCAGCTGCCTCAGTGCCACTCTCATGAATATCCACAACAACTTTGTGTAGAGCCTGCAGGGAAAGAACAGCAGTTTAGTGTATATACACAACAGAGAGAAGAGTGCCTAAAACTTGGTCTTTCATCTGTGTTCGACAGATGAAATATCTGTAGCCGTTCCTCATAAGGGTGGTGCCCCGGCCCAGTCATCATTTTAGTCACTCTCTTCTTTATTTTATTTATTTATTTATTTCATTTATATCCCGCCTATCTGGTCGGGTCAGGACCACTCTAGCCGGCTAACAGTCATAAAAAATACAATTAAAATTATATAAACAATTTAAATAATAAAAACGATACACAGAGTGAGAGAAACAATAAAAGAGGAAAAGAAAGGCGTCAGGAATTATTTGATGGAATTATTCTTCTGCACCTTTTCCAGTTCCACAATGTCTTTTTTTAGGTGTGGAGACCAGAACTGTACGCAATACTCCAGGTGTGGCCTTACCAGCATTTTGCACAATGGCATTATAATGTTGGCTGTTTTATTTTCTATTCCCTTCTTGATGACACCTAGCATAGAACTGGTCTTCACTGCCGCTGCACACTGGGTTGACACTTTAATTGACCTGTCCACTAGCGCACCAAGATCTCTTTCCTGATCTGTCACAGGCAGCTCAGAACCCATTAACTGATCAATAAAGTTTTGATTTTTTTGCGCCAATGTGCATTACTTTACATTTTCTTATACTGTATTGAAACACATTTGCCATTCTGCCGCCCATTCTCCCAGTTTAGAGAGATCCTTCTGTGTCATCTGCAAACTTGGCCACCTCACCGCTTATCTTTGTCTCCAGGTCACTGATCAACAGGTTGAAAAGCACTGATCCCTGGGGCACACCGCTCTTCACCTCTCTCCATTGTGAAAATTGCCCATTGACACCTACTCTCTGTTTCCTGGTTCTCAACCAATTCTCAGTCCATAAGAGGACCTCTTAGCATGTTGGCATAAGGATAAGCAGTACCAAGTTCTGTGGAGTCCAATATTGAAATGCTTGGAGTTGCCAATCCAGTTGGTAGCCACAACTAGAGTAGACCTACTGAATCAGGTGCTGTGTGGTAGAGTCAACGTTTTTATAAGTGTCACTGATTTGATGGCTCCATTCTACTACTAGTTAGATTCAGACCCATGAATGAGTTTAACCCATCTTTAAAGACTTCTACCTTTTCAGGTATCACCACAACCTGTGGATAGAGTGACCAATCAGCAATTTCCAATTCCCTGATTTCAGGATCAAAACCCTGAGACCAGACGGCAGGTCCCTGTGATGGCACAAGAGTGTGTATTTGTGGTGGCAGATAGCTGGGATCTTTGTGATGTCACAGCAGGTGGTCCTTTGTTTAACAGTTAAAAATGCTGGCTGAAATTCTTTTGTTTAGTGTAGTGAGTTGTACTGTAGAGTAGACCCATTGAATCAGTGGGGATTTGGTGAGCCAACCCTTCCATAAGTTTCAATAATTTAAATGGGCCTACTCTAGTTATGACTTACTCTGGCTGTTATTGCCACTAGATTACCAAAGATGGCACAACTATAAGCAAAGGGGAGGTTTAAAAATGAACCTCTGTCTACATCTTTAGGTCATCCTCTTTATAGATACAAAGAAAAAGGTTTTGCTGTGCCCCCCAGGTGAAACTTTCCAGAAACCTCATGATTTTCTCAATGTGGATAATTTTTTAAAAAGGCATTGTAACTTCAAGTATTTGTGTTTATGATAGATGGGTTTAGCTTTTCACGTTTAACACAGTTCATGCCATTCCATAAGTTCTTGGATACACCACTGAGTAATTCAGGCTTCTCATTGTAATTGATGTTGAAGATAGGTGAGTAACCCTGGCTTCTTTTTTTTCTTGCAAGTGAAAATTAAATTGTATTCTCGAAGGCTTTCAGAAAATTAAATTCTTAAAACGTTTCTCAGCACTGGGTGAAAGTACAACGGCTGTTAATTAAAAAAATTTTGGGACTCTTTTTGCAAAAATCAAAGAAAAATCTCACAGTGTTTGTTTGATGCCTTGATATGTTGAGGATTTATTTTCAACAATGAGACAAATTTGAACATTCTTTACATCCTTACTTTATGCTCATAAGCTTTCCATGTAATTTAGAAAACTCCATAATCAGAGCTCTCAAGCGGGAAGGCAGACCCCATGTTTTTTAAAACTTGCTTCTTCTTCTTTTTTATAAAAATACCATTGTCCATTGAATGGAACCTGGTGCCAAAGATGTGCACTCACACCATCTCTAGCTAGCAATGAAGCCTCCTTAGAAATCATTGTCAAAGACTGGATAACTTTTATTCATTTGGACTGCTGGAGTGTGTCTTCAGGGAAGTATTGTGGTGGTGATAAGCTTTAGCTGGTGTTTTTGATGAGACATTGCACCAGACCACATGCTCAAGATGCTTACTGAGTCCTGCTTGCTCCCAGCATCTCAGTAGTTATATTTCAGCAATTACTTTCTGTTGCAGTGGTTAAACTGCACTAAACTCTACAATCTGGATTTGATCACAACAGATTCAGGTAGCTGGCTCAAGGTTGCTCCAAGGCAAAAAAAGTAACAATATTTAATACCAACCACATTTCCGTACTTACTTTGGAAACTTTCAGATTCGGTTGTCCGGTAATTCCAGATAGATCAGCATTGTCAGTGAAGACTTCAATGATGCCCAGTTTCTGCAACAGCTCTTTTACATCATAAGAGGCAGAAAATAATACTTTTGGAATCAGCAGGTGTATTTCTCTGATTGACCAATAAACAAACAAGCAAACAAAAATAAAAAAGAAATCCAAATGTTATTATGGAGGCACAAATAATGTTAATTAGACCACATCTGGCAGTAAAAATAAGAACGTGCAACAGTTGGGATACATTCAGCTGAAAAATTGATTTTATGGGATATTTACATTTGTCAGGGTTTGTTATCAGTTTTGGATAGTTTTAAAACACTGATTTTAATTTTGTGTTTAACCTAAGGTAAAGGTAAAGGTTCCCCTTGACAATTGTTGTCCAGTCGTGTTCGACTCTAGGGGGCGGTCCGTTTTGGATAGTTTTCTTAGGGACGTGTTTTAAAACACTAATTTAATTTTGCGTTTAACCTAACCCTGTTTCAAAAGCTAGTTTTATCACATGTGATTGATTCTTCTTTTATTCAAGATTATTGTGAACTACCTTAAGTACCATCTCTGGAAGGAAGACAGGATAGATAAATAAACAAACAAATAAAAAAAAAGCAACATTTAAATACAGCAAAATCAGTCCTTACCTCAGTGTAAAGGATGTTTTCCATTTAGCCAAAATTTCAATCGCCAAAGCACCCTCCACCTGCTGCATTTTCCCTTCATCTGGCAGATCTTTTTGCGTTTAACCTAACCCTGTTTCAAAAGCTAGTTTTATCACATGTGATTGATTCTTCTTTTATTCAAGATTATTGTGAACTACCTTAAGTACCATCTCTGGAAGGAAGACAGGATAGATAAATAAACAAACAAATAATAATAAAAAACAAGCAACATTTAAATACAGCAAAACCAGTCCTTACCTCAGTGTAAAGGATGTTTTCCATTTAGCCAAAATTTCAATCGCCAAAGCACCCTCCACCTGCTGCATTTTCCCTTCATCTGGCAGAATAAATAGGGCAGAAGCATTTCCTTTATATGGAACTTCCACAACATAGCAAGACAAGTCTTTGTCATACAGCATGTTGTAATAGCCTTGTCGGTACATCATGTTCACTTTCACAGTTGTATTTGCATCTGGAAAAAAGTCTTCTTCCCTGGTAAGGTCAGCATCGAAAGGGTTTTCCCAAAAAGCTTTGAGGGGGGGAAAAGGGGGAAATATCAGAAAGATATCATTGCTTATTAACCAACAGTCAAATTTCTTTACACTATGTACAGGTTTATTAACATAGGTACAATTAATGTCAGTTTCTTGGAATGGCATGTTTTTAAAAAGCTTGAATGCAACGACATGGACTGTGGCAATCACCTGGAAAAGAGAAAGTAAGTATCGAAAGGGTTTTCCCAAAAAGCTTTGGGGGGAAAAAAGAGGAAATATCAGAATGATATCATTGCTTATTAACCAACAGTCAAATTTCTTTACACTATGTACATATTTATTAACATAGGTACAATTAAAGTCAGTTTTTTGGAATTGCATGTTTTTAAAAAGCTTGAATGCAACAATATGGGCTATGGCAATCACCTGGAAAAGAGAAAGTAAGTTGACAACAGCTCTAGTGGATAATGCAAAGCAACACCAGCAGAATTACACACCCTTGAAAAACAAAACAGAAAAAGACCTCTACTTTAAGATTCATTGTGAGGTTTTGTGGATTACTCACACTCATTGCATCTTCTTATTGCCAGGATTGCTGGCAGAGCAATGTAGTCAACCTTTTAAGCATCCTCTAACTGTGGTAATGATGCCATTGTCAATTTAGAAATTCATTACCAGGAGTCAAGATGTCATTGTCACCTTCTGTTTCCCATTCCACTTGGCCCCATTGGCAACCCTACATCAAAGGGCTTGTCCAGACCGGCCCTGATGGGTGTTGGGTGGATCGAGCTACAAGACTTTCTGTTGAGGTGGTATGGAGGAGTGAGGTGCCATTTGGCACATTCCTCCTGTCCCAACAGCAAATGAGCCCTTGTAGCCTGATCAGCTGCCAATTAAAAAAGCTTTCCCTGCTCAGGGGAAGCAAAAGTACTTTTGACGTTGCTCCTCTCTCCCTGCCCTTCCATCTTCCCCCACCTTGCTTTCCTTTTCTTCTTCATCCCCCTCTCCCACTCACGATACTGAGGCTGCTGGAGGGTGCTTTCTCTCAAATAACAGGGCATGCAATACAAAACAAAACAAAGCCACACACACACACACACACACACACACCACACAACAACCTCCACACATGTCTCAGTCTAAAAATATGAACACCAGTGGAGACTGGTCTTTTCTTTTTCAAGCCAAACCATCCTCTCAATGATCCATAGATCATATCTATGCACTAGTGTGGACAGACTGTTATGTAAACAGTGGTCTTTTAGACCAGATGGGTGGGGTATGTATAAATAAATAAATAAATAAATAAATAAATAAATAAATAAATAAATAAATAAATAAATAAACAAA